TATTGGCCGGATATCCTGGACAATGACGCTTGCTCACAGGACGGAAGTTCTGGATGCACATATGGGTGACCATAATTGGAAGAAGCTCGTCAACATGGGTATGCATTGCAGGAATTTGCGATCTGATTGTTAACGGATTTATAGTCAGGTCATTATGTCAGAGATGGAAGAGAACCACTACCGGGCTTGCCGAAGCTGAAACAGAACTTCACAAGCTGTCAGACACAGCGAGTTCCGAGGAGCTGTTGGACTGGAATAGACAGGAGGAAAATGCCCAGAAGCTTCGAACTGCGGATCCATCCGCGATGGACATTTTTGAAGCGGAAGCCCCAAAGGGTTAGTAGCCCCCTGTTGATATCCTGAACTACCTAACGACCAGCAAATAGTCCTGACACAAAAGGATGTGCAAGCCAGCCTGATGGCAAAAGAGCTTGATATCAGAAATGCTATTGGATTCCATTTGGATAAGCACGGGTATGAAAATTCAGGAAACACAGTTGGCATTAAGTAGGTTCGTCCGCATGACGGGCCGTAAGCCAACGTCCGCCGATAAAGTCCAATTTGCAAAACACCGTCAAAGGTTTATCCGGCAATTGGATGCTTTTCATCGACAAGGCTCTGAGCTTTTTCCATGGACCGACTTCCTGGATGCATGTGTCTTGAACCCCCCTCCGGATGATCAGTTTGAACATGACAATGATCTCGACATCCTTGACGCCAACCCCCCAAGTTCTGACAAAACATTAGCCGAGAACATGGATATTATTTTACCGTCCTCCAGAAGGCATGCAGGTTGCCTGAAAGCAGGAGCTGGAGTTACGTATTGCACAGGCCAACAACACTCTTGCCACCATTCGACTGGAAATCGGTCACAAATCATTTATATATCGAAAGCAAATAAACATACAGGAGGGCAAGAAAGGAAAGACCCGAGCTTATGACAAGGTGAATGCGGTGGATAGGAACTTGGCACACCACCTCTGGGTGTATTCCCACGCCTGATGGGCATTGGAAAGACTGAAGGCGGACCCTGATATCTTGAAAAAATTTCAGCCCATTGAGAAGAAAGATACACATACCCTTCCGAATATCTCAAAGTCTAATGCACCAGGTCACTGAAATCGGAATATCCCTTGGTTCTGGGGACTTAATATCCACGGAGACTCCATTGATGACTTTCACATGGAAGAACGTAAGTTGTGACAGCCATCTAAATATGCTTCGGGATAATGGTGGTTCATTTCAGTGTATCGGGTAAAT